ATAACATCTGCAGTAAAGAACCAAATGCAGAAACATATGGAGGAAACCCAATGCCAAACCAGAACACATGCAGAGGACACTAGCTCGGCAAATAAATAAATAAATACCCTAATGGTGCACCTTCAAGAACTAGAAGAGGAAGAGCCAACCAAACCCAGAGCCCAAAGTTGGTAGAAAATTATAAAGCATAGAACAGAAATTAATTCAATTGAGAGGAACAAAACAATTCAAAGAATTAAACAAGCAAAAAGCTGGTTCTTTGAAAGATTAAATAAAACTGATAAGCACCTAGGTAACCTCATCAAAAAGAGGAAAGAAAAAAATTCAAATACAAGCAATAAGGAATGAAAAGGGTGTAATTACCACAGACCCAGTGGAAATTCAGAAAATTACAAATAGCTGCTTTGAGAATCTTTACTCTCACAGAATACAAGACACAGAAGAAATGGACAGATTCCTAGAAAGGTACAAATTGCTACAACTGAATCGACAAGATATAACCACTCTCAATAGCCCAATAACAGCCAATAAAATACGAGATGTAATTAAAAACCTACCAGCAAAGAAAAGTCCAAGTCCGGATAGATTCACAGCTGAATTCTACAAGACATTTACAGAAGACGTAGTCCCTATACTCCTCAAACTCTTCCATGAAATTGAAAAGAAAGCAATCTTCCCAAAATAATTCCTGGAGGCAAGTATTATACTGATACCAAAACCAGGGAAAGATGCAACTAAGAAAGAGAACTACAGGCCATTCTCCCTCATGAACATAGATGCCAAAATCCTGAACAAAATACTAGCAAATAGAATACAGCAAATCATCAAGATGATCATACAACATGACCAGGAAGGATTCATCCCAGGATGCAAGGATGGTTCAATATTCGAAAATCTATAAATGTAATACACTGTATCAATAGAGTGAAAACTAAAAACACATGATCATCTCCATTGATGCAGAAAAGGCTTTTGACAAAGTCCAACACTCATTCATGTTCAAAGTCCTACAGAAAATTGGAATAGATGGCCTCTACTTCAATCTGGTAAAAGACATTTATGAAAACCCATTGGCTAACATAATCCTAAAAGGGGAAAAACTAAAATCTTTTACTCTTAGAACTGGTACAAGAGAAGAATGTCCTCTATCACTACTCCTATTCAATATAGTTCTGGAATCATTAGCTACAACCATTAGACAAGAGAAAAAATAAAAGGAGTAAGAATAGGCAAAGAAGAAGTTAAATTATCTTTATTTGCAGATGACATGATACTTTACTTAGAAAACGCAAAAAACTCCACCAAGAAGCTACTAGAATTAATACAGAAATTCAGTAGCATGGCAGGGTACAAAGTCAATACCCAAAAGTCAATAGCATTCCTTTACACGGACAACAAACACACTGAGAGGGAAATTATAGAAACAATACCTTTTACAATAGCAAAAAGGAAAATGAAATACCTTGGAATTATTCTAACTAAAGAAGTCAAAGATCTTTTCAAGGAAAATTACAGTACTCGTAAAAAAGAAATCTTAGATGATTTCAGAAAATGGAAAGATATTCCATGCTCCTGGATAGGAAGAAAAAACATTGTGAAGATGGCCATACTCCCAAAACTGCCATACAGATTTAATGCAATCCCTATCAGACTACCACCGACATATCTCACAGACATAGAGAAATCATTCCTAAAATTTATCTGGAACCAGAAATAACCTAGAATAGCGAAGGCAATTCTGGACAATAAAGACAAGGCAGGAGGCATTACAATTCATGACTTGAAATTATACTAAAGGCTACTGTGATAAAATCAGCATGGAATTGGCAACAAAATAGACCTGAGGATCAACGGAATAGACTAGAAGACGCTGAAGCCCCTATGAACACACTCAGCCACCTTATCTTTGACAAAGGGGCCCAACATACTCACTGGAAGAAAGATAGCATCTTTAACAAATGCTGGTGGAAAATCTTGCTCTCTAGATGGCGAAAATGAAAACTTGACCCAGGTCTATCACCATGCACTAAGCTAAAGTCAAAGTGGATTACAGATCTAAACATTAAAGCACAGACACTAAATCTCCTGAAAGAGAAAGTAGGAGGAACTCTTAAAGACATAGGGGTAGGCAAAGTGTTCATGAACAGAAATCAAATCGCACGGGAAACAGTTGAAAGAATTAACAACTGGGACCTGCTCTTACTGACAAGTTTTTTCACGTCAAAAGAAATTACCAACAAAGTGAAAAGGCAACCAACAAATTTGTAAAAATCATGAAAAATAAGTAATCTGACAAAGGTCTGCTCTCTAGAATTTATAAAGAACTAAAAAACACTAGGGCCC